CTGTTCACTGACAAGTTACTGAAGGAACGAGCCTAGCAGTGGAGGGGGGGAAGGTCAACCAAGGATCCTAGGGACTTTCCACTGATTACCAAGTGTGGAGTACACCCCACCATCCCCAGGACTTGGATACGGCAGTCCTTGGAAAATCCGCACAGACAGTTGCTGGAAAACCCCAAGGACACAGGTGGGGCAGGCAATCCTTGGAAAAACCACACGCAGACAGCTTGACCCTGGCCACTGGCCCTAACAAAAGTCCCAAAGTCAGTGCCAAGCCTACCAAATATCCCCTGATCCTAAATGGCCAATCATGTTAAAGATCAAAATATCCACCAATGAAAAACTGCCCTGTTGCTGTTGCCAAAGTCTGCCTATGTTTGAATGTACAAAAACTCAGAGCTTTTGTTCCTTGGGGTCACCTCTCCTTATGGTCCGGGCTGACCCCAATGTATTGGCTTCAATAAACCTCTTGCCATTTGCATCGATTTCAGTCTCCGCGTCTCACTCAAGGGCCTTTCTGGTAACGTGGGACTCCCCCAAGTCTTACAGTTACCTCTGCATCTTTGTGCACGCCTGCACTTGTGCATACTCTGTCCTAACAGCCATTTGTCCACCACGAAGCTGACGACTGAAGACAATACCCTTGCATACTGATGTGTACTACAGAAGCCATTCAGTGCTACAGCAGAGCGTTTCCTCTCTCCCTATGGATGGTGCTTGCGCTGCCCAAAGAAAGCTGACCTCTAAAGCAACATTCATGATCCCCACAAAGCATCCCAGAGTGGTCTGCAAGAAGCAGTGCACATCTGTCATCTCCCAGTCCAAGGTAAAAGTTAAGTTACCGGCACTAAAGACTGTGTCCCATCCAGACGTCCCTGCTTCCTGAGGGCTCTGCCCCCATGTAAATGGGAGGAGCCAGATGAGGTGATCCATGGGTCAGAAGAACTCAGACCATAGCTAACTGCCTGTTGACTGCCTGCCTACCTCCACCTACCTTGGGACAGCAGAGCTAAGGGTAGGGGATGCTGAGAGCCTGGTGAGGCCCTTGGCATAGGGGAAAGAAAATAAACGTCCCACCCTTTCCCTGGTGTCATTCTGTATGTTCTCTTCTAACACACATCTAAAGTTCACCCAACAAGGTGGGACACACACCACTTGCTGCTTGCCAGAGGAGCCTCATCTCACTGCTCTAAGAAAACAAGGGCTCAACTGTGTCTCGCTACAGTAGCTTTAAGCCAGAGAGAACTTGATTCATGACAATTAGTTGAGCTCTTTGTAGTGGTCTCAGCCACGGCAGCATTCTCCTATTTGGAACAGTGAGTACTGGTAAGCAGCCATGGCTGGATCCTGGCAAACTTGTTTCTGTACAGTGCTTTTATGCATCTCAAATCTTAAATAGAAGTGTGTGTAAAGTTACGACTGTATATAAACATGGTAGAAATACTGAAAATTATCAATGGTAACTGAAAGGAAAAGCATTCATTAAATTAGAATAGAAATTGGCTTCTAATTGTAAAGACTGTGCATTGTTGTTAATTGGAAAATTCTCCCAATAAATAAGATATTTAATTGTAAATTTGTATAAAATTTAACTGATATTCAATAATAAATGCTTCTATCAAATGCAAATTAATTTTAACTTCTCAAAATTATTAACAGGGCATGAAATAGAAGAAACGTTATGCCATGTATCAGCTGCTTACTCCTGTTTAAACTGCTTCACACAGTAAATCTGTATTGCTCCAATTACCCAAATAAAATTACATCTACAACAATAAGAATACATGACTTTAATTGTATGGGTTCCTGTTCATTTATTAACTTGCTTACAGACAGGCTCATGGGCTCTGAGTCTGCCGCATGGAGCAGAATCGCCCTAGGATCTATTTCAGGGCTGAAAGGTAAGTCCTACACATCTATTTCAGGGACTACCCACGTGGCACGACTGTGTGAACCAGCCTCGCTGCTGCTGTCTGATGCAGTTTACACTCTATTTCCTAAGCCATTAAGGCAAAATGCACTCAAATATGGGATGAACTTGTGTCTACAGATTAAAATAGAATGGCTTCTTAGTCTGCTGGTATATATAACCTGAATCACACTTTGGGGAGTTGTTTCTTCACCATGAAGTGACTGGCCTGAGCTAAAAGTATCCTGGCTCCCCTACCTCCAACATCCCAGATGATGTCCTAGGCAACATCTATGGTGCATAGTTCTTATCAGCCAGGCATGCATCCCTAGGTAAGTGTATAACTACAGAGAGGAATCTAGCCAGGCTTATAGTTATGTCCAGATAGTGTAGCCCCACACAGGCGCGTAGCTATAGGGCAGAATCTAACCGGGTGTGAAACTCCAGCCAGTGTGCAGCTCTAGATGGAAATACAGCCACAGGATAAAATTAAGTCAGGAGTATAACTCCCACAGAGCAGAGTTCTAGCCAGATGTGGAAATGTCCCTGAAACAAAGAAATGGTCATAAACATTAAAGAAAGCATAAGTGTAAGCTGGGACAAGTGTACAGGACCATGGTCTTTGAAGTTTGTGGAGTCTCTGACACAGCTAGCCACCAGAGGAAAGGCTGGGTCAAGGCAGTGTCTACTGACACCCAATAACAATCCCAATGACAACATTGGCCACAGTGATTTACAACCAGCCCCAGTAACACTCTAAAGCCCTGGCAGCAAGGCCCAGGCAACTCTTTGAAGGCTATGATGCTACAAGAGTACGGCTATGAAAGGCAGCTGACACTCAGTGTCCTGTCTTTTTACCAAGTCTGTTGCACAGGTCACGCCAAAGAGCGACCCCAGACTCAATCTGCTGCTTGAAGCTGGAAGCTGGAAGCAACCACTGCTTAGGAACAGGTTACCCAAGGCATCAAACTGCCCTTAGTCCAAGCAAAACAAAATCCAGCTCATTGAGGTCTGAGGCGTCATGCAGAGTAGCACTGTGATTGGCCTGTGGCTACATCAAATGTGTATTTTCCCCCTGGGAAGAGCTTCAGAATCTCCATGAAGAAGAGCTTAATAAAGGAGAAAGATGGATTTGCAACAGCAACAGGAGGATGAAATGTGAACAGAGATGAGCTTGAGGCGTGAGACCTCTAGCAGTGGGAGGCCAAGCTTGGGTCACAGCAGTATGAGGCTGGGGTGTAATGAATTCATGCAAAAGCTACAGAAGATTAATTTCCAAGATTGAAAGATGCTGGCACCCAGGCTGGAAAAAGTAAGAAATACTCCAACAATAAAGAAATAACAACAGCAACACAAATAGTGAGTGGTCAAGAAGACAAGTATGCAACAGATGGTCCATGCATGGAGCCCCACAGCTGATGGAGCTACTCTATGCAGACAGAACCAGAACACTATCTGCTGGAAAGCAGGAAGGGGAGATGACACAGGGGACCAAAGGAGCTTAAGATCAAACAGTAATAAGCCAACCACTTTCCTCAGCATCCATTCACTTTATTGTATGTGAATCGAAATTCAGTTGTGAAAAATATGAGAAAAATAATAGATAACATTTTTAAGCTTTTTACCCTACGGGAGGATCTGCTTGTGTCTTTTCAACAAGGCTTGGCCCTGAATTGATGGAGAAGCCTAAACAAGTGCTGACTTCTAAGGGCTAAAGCGCCCAGGCAACATTATCTATCGCTTAGAAGCCAAGTAAACTTGAAATCCACTTCAAATAATGAAACTAATCTTGGAACTTTAATAGCGCTTAAGCATCCAAGCAATTGTTTCCTGACTTCCAACTCAACTGGGACTGAGCCTTGGATCTAGTGAGTCTGGGAAGGGAGAAGGTGGCCCAACAGTGCGAGGACATCCCGCACAAATTCCAGGACAGCAGGGTAAAAAGATGGAAGAGCCAAGCAGAGCCCTGTGGCCAGGTGTTGGGCTCAGCAGAACCGAGGGGGGGGTGGAGACTGCAGGGAGCCCAGCCCTAAAGAGCAGCCAAGATCAAAACCTACAGGAAAGAGTGGGAAGACCACCTGCTGCCACCAGGGAAATGTAACACAAAGAAGGAAATCGCATTTCTTGTCCTTTCTGTAAAATGAATAGCTACAGAAATGAAATTAGGTGGGTAATAAAACAATTTAAGAATAATAAAAAAAAAAAACTCTCAAGAACTTAAAGCTAGGTTTACCTAAAGCCTCAGAGAGGAGAAGGGAAAGTCACATTCTTCCAAGAGTCTCAAGGGGCTCAGGTTTGCGGATGTTGGCACTTCCCAATTCCAGGAGAGCTGAACAAAAATCCATATGCTCCTTCAACACAGACAGACACACACACACACACACACACACACACACACTTTGAAGTCCCTGGGGGCATAGACTGGGACCCACTCCCTGCTGTGAGTACGAAAGCACACTTATCAGTGAAGAAAATGTCTTCCACGTGAAAGGCACATGACTGTGTACCAATTCATGAGACTAAGGAGCCCCTGGGGAAAAATGTAACTCTCACACTAGCATCCATGGAACCCAGAATAGAACAAGAACCCAGAGAAGGTTTGCTCTTCAGCCAGACAGTAGGCACAGTGTGGGGCAAATTCTATAATTCTGGAAGCTATAACAAACATCCAAAATGTTCTGTTGAGTTTCTGGCCACACAAGGCAATGGATCCTTTTAAAATGTTTCAGGTTTTGTCAACAATATCTATAAAACAGAGAATTATAATTGGTTTGGAAATTATCTCCCAAAAGCATTAAAAATTAAGAATGTCCTTCCTATTTCTTTCCTGTTTACTGAGGGAATTGGCAAGAAAACTGGTCTCTGGAGAGGTTCTGAGGTACAACAGAGTCTGTGGAAGCTACAGGCCTAACGGGACTGATCACAACTTTTTCACGGAAGGCAGGGTTAGAATTCAAGGAAACCAGCAGTCCTGTGGGCTACAGTAAGTCCAGGAGAGTAAGACTTCAGCAAATAAGCAGGTTGTCCTGGTGTTTGCCAGCTGCATTTCAAGGGCAACCATAAAGCCCAGGGTTCAATAAAAGATACCGACCCCTGCCCCCTGGCGATGGGCAAAGAGACATCTTGGTGGTGTTCTTGTATCAGTCAGGGGCAGAGCAGACGGCACTCCTGTGTTTATCCTAGCTTGATGCCTGGCCTGGTAGCCAAAGCTGTCTTATACCTAGGACTCATAAACACCAAATCAAATCCAGAATGCACAGTGCAGAAAGAGGAAGAAAGCAGAGACCTGAGGACCACCATGCCACCCACAGACCTGCTCTCCAGCGCACAGCACAGGAGGGCCACAGACACTCTCTTGCCGTCATGCCATGTAGCAGGGATGGAAGATGCCACCTACAGGTCCATCACCCATGTGGCCAGCCTGCAGCTGGCGCCACCACAATGTGTGAGTCTGTGGCGGTCAGGTGAGAGAGAATGAGAAGCGAAGCAGCTTGAATTATGAGGAGGGATGGATCTGGAGGGTGGAGAGCCTGTTGTGGGTGGCCAGCCTTGCCACGATGGGCCAAGATAAGGTCCCAGCCTGGGCTGCCATAGAGGGCAATGCCTGAGTCTGTCGATGCCTGTGGCTCACATTTCCACTAAAGAACACCAGGATGGGAATACCCGCCTGAGACCATGTGGATATCTAAGGACTGTATGACTGGCCCCGCCCTTCACTGGATGCAGCATTCTGGAGAGCTGGTGCTACCTCTCACCAGTGGCAGCACTTGGGAGAATGGGCCAAAGATCTTGAACCAGACCAATGACTCATTGTAATGAGCACTTGCAAGTGAAGATGTGTGGACAGAGGGATGTACCATGGGACACACTGTGACACACTACACCTTAAACAATGAGATGTTTTCTATGCTTTGCTTTTGTTGTTATTAGTATGCGTGTGTGTGTGTGTGTGTGTGTGTGTGTGTGTGTGTGTGTGTGTGTCAGTTTTATTTTGGTGAGGAGGCTACAAGTGCAGAGATGAGAGAACAGAGAGATAAGTGGGACTGGGGTGCTTTGAAACTCACAAAAATCTCAATAAAAAGTTTAAAAAGAAAAAAAAAGATACCAAAAAGAAAAAAAGTCTTTCAGGATGCCAAAACACCTGACGAGGTCAGAGGTGACCTGAGCCACCAACAGGAGGAATGGCAGAAGAAGAGAAAAGCCTAGTGAGTCCATAGGATGGCTGTGAGTATATAACAAGCCAGCCTCAGACCAGGGCTCTGTAACTCTATTCCCAGCCACAGACCCACAGAAATCAACTGAACAATGGGCCTCCAAGAGCTCAGAGTCCTTCCAGTTCTCTGTGGTCCCTTTTGGCACCGACCATTAGCAATGACGTGGCTTTCATGTGGCCAGAGAGCTACGTGGCACCATCACAAACCACCTCTCAGCCACGGCAATTGAGTTAAAAAAAAAAAATTGTAGAGAACTGTGGAACAATGGGCGATGCCCAAAGAAGTGTTGTGAAAGGGCCTGCCTTGATTCAGAACAAAACCAGAATTTGACCATGATTTCCATAGCTGCTACACGATAACAAACTGCCTCCTGGTGGATTACGGTGCCCACTGCATAGCACACCCATTACATTACATACCCAATGTGGTGCTTGGCAGGCAGTGGGCACACAGCCAGCATGTCCCTCCTTCAAACCACCTAAGCCACATGCTGTCTGCCGTACAAACCCAGCTAAAGCTCCCACCCCTGGGCATGGGAGTTTGTTTTCATAGTGTATTCTTTCCTTAAGTCAGAAATGATAATCTATGCAGTAGTCAAAACTAGACAGCAATTAGAACCACACAATAAGGTGCTAATGTCTCCAAGATGCTGGTTAACGCAGCTATCATTACCGCAGAAGCAGGGCACAGAGTCGTGGAGGTGGATGCCATCCTGCTGCACTGAGCTGGCCTGGAACCCTCAGAGCACTAAGCTCCCAAGCTCCTCTCAGATGCTGGCCTTTGAAGAACAGCTTCTTTGGAATATTCTGTACCCTACACAGCACCCTTACAGAGGCAGGCCTTGCCAAGGCATTTTTAGGGCTTGGGAACTAACACCAGGATTTCCAAGGATGAGCCTGTGGTACTTCTTTAACAGCATACCAATTCCATGGATTTAGGGAAGAAGGAGATTCAAAGGGCCTGACCTAAGAGTTGTCTTAAAACGCTTTCTATTGACAAAGCGCCACTGGAGGAGGTATGCCTTTTCTCAGATGTTGATTGAATTTTAAAGATCTTTACTTACAAAATACTATAAGAATCCTACATGAATTGGATCAGACTTCTCTCCTTCGAGGCATAATGTTTTCAATCACTTTGCAAAGTTTTCTCTCTATTACTCAGATTAACTTTGGAGACCAGGAAAAGAGGCATCTTTTAGAGCCACTTTTGAGCTCTGCACACAGGTCATTTTACTCAAACCCAATGATGAGCTCTGGATTCTTGCCCATTGCATAGCTACAAAGCTCTGAGGAGACACTGGTACCCCACTCCCCATTCCTATCACCATTCCCGTGTCATCTCAGAGCCCAGCACATTCTGGATGCTGAGTTCATGGACCCATCGAGACAGAAGTGAGCTTCAGAGGCTGTCAGCTGCAGAATGCAGGAGGGATAGTCACAGTGGCCTCCTAGCCTCAAGTTTCACCCAGAGATTTTTTTTTCTTCCTAGTGGCCTTTATGGAGATGGTGCTGGAGCCAAGGACAAGGAATACATTGGGCCAGAGTTCACACAGAAACCATCAGGACACGAATGCATGGAAACACTGTGCAGTCTGTGAAGCACTTTGCAGATGTCTGCTTTTACCTTCCTCTCCTGATCATTTAAGTGCACGCCTGGTCCATGCAGCACCTGTTCCAACTGAGCTTACCATTGAGATGAATGCACACAGGAGGCAATTATTCTGAGGAATACTCTCTTATCTCAGCCTTTTCTGATTTAATACAATCAAATGGACACAAATGCAAGTGTAGAAAGACAAGGGATATTCCTGTTCTAGGACCAGAGAAGAGAAGTTACACCATGGATTCTCCTTTCAAACACTCTTTGTAGTGATCACTTACAAGGAAGGTGCATAGTAAACTAAAAACTATGTAATTAAAATAACGCATGTATGGCATGGTGCTGGGAGCTCTGTATTTCTTTTTTTTTTTTCTTTTTAGTTACATTTTGTTAACTCTGTGTCCCAGCTGTATCCCGCTCCCTCATTCCCTCCCCAACCCCACACTCCCTCCCTGGTCTCCTCCCTGCCCCTTTCCAAGTCCACTGATAGGGGAGGACCTCCTCCCCTTTCATCTGACCCTGTTTTATCAGGTATCTTCAGGGCTGGCTGCAAAGTCCTCCTCTGTGGCCTAACAGACTGCTCCTCCCCGGGGGGGG